CAGCTCCTCTTCTGTTTACCTTTTTAAATAATTTCAATGGTCGGGGGGCAGACACCGTCACTATAGGATTTTCACTGAGTAACTCCTGAAATGGAGGAGCAGAGAAGTGTGTTAGACTGCGACTCTACGTAGGGTTTTGGGTGGGTAACTGCTGAAAAAGAAGGGCAGAGAAGTGTGTTAAACTGCGACTCTGCCTCCTGGTCTCAACTCTGGGTTGTCATGGATTTGGTCCACTAATAAACTTGGCCAGATTTATAGATCTGTATCAAATAACAGTTGTATTAAGATTCAGGATTGATAATGAAAAAGTGTTTTGCAATAATGAAACTGAAACCATTTGTCATTTATTTAATATTGTATGTGTACCAAATTATTTTGGTTAGATTTTGAATATTTCTTTAAGACGTTGACTGGTTCAGTTATTCATTTATGAAAAAGAGACATTATTTTCTTTTATGATAAGATTGATATGGATTGTAAAAGACTATATATTTTGAACCTCTTTATCTTATATGGAGTATATTACATTCCTAAATACACATGGTCTAAAAAGAAAACCACAAATACAACATTTCAAATTAGAAATCAAACATTATTTTGAAGCGGTCTGAAGAATAATTAAGCAATTAAAACAGTTAAAAGAAAAAATTTAGAAGATTAAAAAAAAATTGGAATATTTTTCTTTAATGCCTTTGTTGCTTGTTACGCGATACCCCGTGTATCTATTTGGGTCATGTTCTGTTATTCTGTTTTATGTATTTTTTTTTTTGCTGAAGATTGTCAAATGAAAAGTACAACAACAAAAAGTAATTAGAGTGTAAAATCACATCAGGTGATTGCTTTAATTGTGTGTTCTTGTATGTTATTTCACTAACTTTAATGTTTAATGTGCAAGATATGCAATGTGATAATATATTTCAATAAGCATAGTATCGTAACTATTCCAACATTGTGTACATTTTAATTGATCCTACTGTCATTTACGTTTTGGAAATGTTTTTGTGTTGGCTAATACTTTTTTTTTGCAACTGCAATTACAACTTAAACTTTATTTACAAGTTAAGAACAAGATGTTGTACAAATGTATACATAAAGAAAATGTAATAAAAATGTCTGGTTTCTTTTAGTTGATTTTCAATATATCAAAACTGACTAAAATCCACTGTGTTCTCTTCCTTGTAATGGTGTAGACATTTTGGATATGAAATCTGCTGCTCTCAGGTACTTTTTTAACAGGATAGAGAGTTTGACAAAACCAAACCACAGCTCAACATGAGATGTTTGTATGCCTATTATATCTTCTTGCTATTAAAAACCACAAACCACTCCACAATGGGAAGATTCCCATGTAGTTTATTTATTTATTTATTTTACAGCACATTGACGACAGCAGTACAGAGGAAGTGGGTTTTGTGGGTTGGCAACTTACAAGATGTCACACTCTGCTTGGTCCTGTCTGAAAGGCACTTTAAAAGGTAATTAAAAGGTAACAGGACTATTAGCAGTTTTTTCACTGGTGCTTTTCTCCTCCCATTACGTGTCCATTTTCGTCCAGCTTCATGCGCTAGATTTGCAAAACACCTGCATCAAAAACCACACACGATGAAAAATTCAATGGCCATCTGCATATTTGTGCAGTTGAGGAAGTAAGCATGCTCTGTCTGCTGTTGGTTTGCCAAATGCTTGTCACACAGCCTTCATGGTGGGCGGAGCACGGATGCACCACAGTGCTGTTGGGAATCAGTGCAGACACTTGTCTGGCAAGGTACACTATTTCCTCGTTGAAGGATATAAGCACACAATTAATCAGAGTCCAACTATAATTGGTCTCAACCTGGCTATCCTCTATGTTATGTAAGGTAATTAGGGGTCCAAGCCCGAGTGGGCTGGGAACCCGCGAATGCAAGATCATCTGCCTTTTGCTTATTGCTCACACTTAATGGAAGAACTGGTGGTGGAGGGGGAGTGGTTATCTGCTCGGTAATTTTTGCAGCCATGTAGCCACCAGACTTGAATTCTTTCCCAATTCTGTGGAGAGGGCTATGGACTAACACGTTTCCAGAATTTAGTCACCATACCAATTATTAAGGAAAACTTACTTAATGTCTTGCGGACATTGGATAGATATACTGTTGATTTTGTTTGCCGTTGTTTATGTTTTCCAATTGAGCTACGAACCCAAGTTGTGTCTTTAGGTCATCCAGAGGTGTTGTTGTGCAGTCAGTCGAATCTGAAAATGTACTTTTGGCTTGCATACCAAAAACTTGCAAACAAATGGATTAATTTGGACTGCCAAGAAAAACTTCACATTTGCACTTGTCTTTCTACTTGAATATATTTACATCTTTTTTGTATACCAACTTAATTTAGAAATTTTGGACTTCCCCAACTCCCGTGCACACAGTTGTGCACTGCTGTGCAAGGCCAGGTGGACCTAATTCAGCAATCACCTGTAGCACTCCTGGGGCAGAACCAGAGGACAGAAAAGGAACAAGGATGCACAGCGCAGAGAAACACATACAGCCGTAACAACATTTACCAGATACAAAAACTGGCTTTAGAAAGTCATAAAATATCATATCAAAACCAGGGAAGAAGTCTTTGGATTGTACATTAAGTTCACTGTATGTAAAACCACCATTCCCCCCTCTCCTTTGCCTTTCATGTCTCTGTACAGTCCTATCAAAGCAAAATGCCAGCATTTTAAGAAATACTTTCTAATTACTTTACATTCAGATTGCACTTTAATCTTGGAGCCGTGTCTAACAGTATCCAAAATATTCTTTATGTTGACCCAGTTAGGTTTCTAATGAATAGATCTGAAAATGTCGTCAATAAGGTATATAAAAACTAAACTACTTTTGTTTCAGGAGAACAATTCTTTACACTGAAATGTCTGACTTATTTGCTGTGTGCATGGAACTGAATAAATGGTCTATAAATAGTATCAGATGTGGGAATTTGTATTGTGGTGGTACTTTAAAAGGTCTGTGGGGTGGTGATGGCACAATGGATAAGACACATGCCTTTGGTGTGAGAGACCTGGGTTCAGTCCCCCACTGAGCCATCCACCTGCAACCTCGATTGCTTTAGATAAAAGTGTCAGCTAAATGAATAAATGTCTGAGTTTGCTCAAATTAAGTAAATTTAAGGAAGTCTGAAACTGATAAAATAAAACTGATAAATGACCCTAGTACCAGATTACCCAAAATGGGTTTCTGGTCTCTATTATAGGATAAATAGATATATGTAAAATAATGTAATAATGTGAAGATGTGGTCATTTTTAATTATGAAAACACAGGATTTAAATATGTTTACTTAAGGTTTTGATAAGACACCTATAACTAAGACTCTTCAATCAAGTATCTGTAAAATGGCATTCAAATAAATTTTACATCACAAACCTGTAATTTTACAAGTACAAGTTTTCTTTTTTAACACCATTAAAAGGTGTGAACGCCTGTTATTTAACAATAAATTAAATATTACCTTTCTGTAATTTTACCACTTTGGGGCAATTATACACTTAATCTAACTTGTAATCTAATAATTATAATAAAAGTCAAAAGCTGTGAAATTACAGTAATTATGGCTGTTTTCAATGATCAAAACTGTGTTTCGACAGTTTGCCAATATTTTCTTTAAAATAACAGAAATGTTATGGTTAATCACAGCTACAGGTTTTTCATGTTATTTTACATTAGACATGTAAATTCACAGTACATTTTTGCAATTTTTTTATATTTTCATGTATTTCAAAAATACAGGAAAAAAACTGTGAAATAAAAAGGAATAAAACTTTAAAATTACATTTTTTTTTTTTACAGTGTACATTAATTTCAGATCTCCATAACCGCAAGCCCCTTTCATTTATAACTGGTCATTTATTCTCCACGGGCCCCCAGAGCTGCGCCGGGGCCAACTCGCGCGCCCTCTCCCTCGGCTTGCGCTGGGAGACTTGGAGCCCGCTTACAACTGCTTGCAGTTCTAGTTTGCTCTTGAATTCCATAAGCCAGTGGGAAAGAGATGAAAGAGATGAATGAAATCCTCGGAATTCTGTGAGCATTCAATGGACAGGTTCAGGAGCCACCCTGACATCTTTTGAACAGACTCACCTTGCTATCTTCAGGGAGTATCCCACCATAGAGTCCCCAAAGGAAAGTGTGTTCCCCATGGCTCCTGATGTTGATGGCAATTTGTGGTCCAGCGCCACAGCTGGCATCCCTTCCAACGTCCTGTCTGAAGCTGTCGGCTGCCCCTGCCCATGCATACAAAGACCTAGGTGTATCCTATGTGGCCTGTGTAGTAATAATTGCTGGTTTTGATTTGGAGTCACTGGGTCACATTTCAAGGAAGCTATTGCAAAATTTGCATTTTTTAAATTAAAATATATATGTAAAATAAATGAATTATACATTAGAAATCCAAAACTCCACCGCCTACCCGCACCTTGACCACATCATCCCCGTACTCCAGAATCTCCGCTGACACCCTGTTCCCCAAAGCATTCAGTAGGCCTACAAAATCCTCCTCCTCGCCCCTTCCTACCTCACAGACATGCTCCACCATCACCACCCCTCAACCATACACACCGGTGAATGTAGCGACCCGGACACATTCAAAATCTACCTCTTTAGGTTAGCCTTGCCTGCTATGTAGAAGGGTGTTACAAAGCTCAATTTCATTACATAACCTGTTATATTCTGACAATAAATGTATATTTGTATATTTTAATGTAGCCTACTAAATAAAGGCCTATTGGTCATTGTTTCTTTGAGTGTCCTTATTATTATTATTTTTATTTTTAAAAGTGTGCTACATGAGACCAATTTATTATATTTTTAAACCATAATGTTTCACTAATATTGGCTGGTGAGCATGAAGGTGTTGAACAAACCCTGGTGAAAGTGGGTAAGAACACCGCCTCTGGAGTAAGTGTCTGTCGAACATCCAACTTAAAACTAACTTCACCGCGGTCGTTTCCCGCGTGCAGATCGTTCTTTGAAAACATGTAACTTGGGGGTTTTCTTGGTGTCGTCATGTTGTGTTTGTGCCCTTTGACTCGCCGAATAATGACTAAGGCGTAAGCTATAGTGAGTGGGTGGGTGGGGGAGCTTCCGTTTTTGAGCAACAGTGAACAGTGTTGTGAACTGTTAACGGAACGTAGTTTGTTTCATTTGGACTAGCGTCCTCCTGTGAGCGCGGCTGCACAGATGGACGCCTCCACTTTACTCTACGATGTCCCTCCGGCTGTCGTCCAAAGGTTCTGTGAAATCATGGACAGTGGGGATGACAGGTTCGGGTGGCGTGGACTAGGTGAGGAACTCTGCTGTCTTTCTGGTTAGGCATTGTTGAAGTGAAAGGAGTTTCAGGCAGTTGGCCCCTGGCTTGTTTTCAGAGGGTCTGTGTGATAATAACAGGAAGCTGGCTCTGACACAACATCCACCCGTTTTTCTGTAAGAAACCTGTAGAGATTTAGGATCTAGAAAACAACCTAGATATTTATCAGATCAATTAGACTAAGCTCGTTATTATCTTAATAAATATCTTAATATATGTAGTGTGTGTGTATATATCTTTAAATATTTTAACAACAACAAGGCAGCAACCACTACAATAACAGATACCTTTGAACAGGGACGTGCACAGACATTTTGGTGGGCAGGGGCTCAAATGAAAAAAAGGGCATTTTTTTAAAACAAGACAAATATATTACCTCAACAACATTTTTACTTTTCTACAAAATAATCAGTTCACACAGAGATCATGGTCTTCTTTATTATTCACTAGGTTTATCACAGGAGCAGGCGACAGCAACGCAAACTATGCCAATACTTCACACTAAACTGTGGCATTGGGCTGCAGGCATAATTAAAATAAATGTTATTTAAATACTTTTACTTTTTGTTTCACAAGCAAGATGCCAAATGAGTAAAGACAACCTTCAGCTTCATACAGCCAAGCAACAGAATACTGAATTGCCTGAATACATTAATGTATTGATCAAAATGGATTTGTATATGTATATAGCCTATTAGCCTATAGCCTATTTAGATTTTTTTCCCAATTAATGTATTTGTTTGACAGGGAATCTGTTGCAAACAGGAATAAATATACTGTATATTCATTTATTTAAAAAAATCCCAGGCACTTTCTCTTGAAGAAGAAAAATGGCAGGTGCTGAAGCCCCTTTTGATTTTTATGTGTCTGCCTTTGAATATTTCCTGTGAACTGCAGTTCAAATATTGAAATACAGGTAGCCTAATTAAAACATTAAGCCATTACACTTGTCAGTTTAAGCTTCATAAGTTTTTACATTTAGTGCTCTATGTTGCAAATTATTATAAAATGATTGCTTTCTATGGTAGTTAGCGAGACAGTGGAAGCAACCTGATGTCATCCAAACAAACCTGTTAATCTACACCCTGCGCTGCTGTAATATGTAGCTGAAGGAAAGGGACGGGTGAATGTGTGTTTTTCTTATCTAGCTGGTTTTTCCACTATAAGCTTGATTTGACACTTTTTCATTTCCATCATCTTTCCTGCTCTCCAGCTGTCCGAGTCGTCCCCAGCTTGTTAGAAGTTCGCATGTTGGAGCGCATGGAGACAGCAGGTCGCAGCCCCACTAGGGAGCTGCTGTGGTCCTGGGCCCAGCAGAATTCAACAGTGCGAGACCTGGTTAAGATTCTGCAGGACATGGGCCACCTCAGGGCCCTGCAGCTCTTCCGGGGTCAAGCTCAAGGTAAGTTGCAAGCAATGAAAGCGTAATTTTATACATCATTTACTGCTTTATCTGCATAGCACATCTAAACTATTTCCGTATTGTAGATTCTGATTGAACAGAATTTGTTTAAAATGAGCTTTTATGAGGCTGTGCCTGCTCCTACATATTAATGCACTGTAACATTCGTTACAAGTTTGACAAACACTGTGGCTTTAAAAATTTTGAAGACTGCCAGTGGGATTACCAGTTAGTACTCATCCTCCGCATCAGTTTTCAGTTTTAAAAGCACAGCCTAACATGGATCATCCAATCTTTGGCACATTTGATTGATCATTGATGGACCACTGTACCTACAAGTGCTTGGGTTCAATGTAAGGACCACGAGGCTGTAACTGCTCGTTCATTTTTAACTACAAGTGGAGAAATTCATCCACCAACAACCGGTTTTTGCTTTTGTGCAGATTTGACTTTTACGTGCATTTTTTAAAGATGGAAACATGCTGACCCATGTGTGAGCAATCAGTGAAAGTACTCTGGGTAAATAAAGTAAAAAGAATGCATTTGGAAAACCAGACATTGCTGCAAATTGTGTTTTGATGTTGGCCCGCTGCCCCTCGGTATGAAGAAACATTATATAATGAAGGATTATCTCAATAAGGCAATCCAAGACAGCTGGCATAATTGTAGCGATTGCTGTTCAGCATACGACCCCCTTTATCCTCAGTCCACGCAAAGAAAAATGTGCCATCAAACAGACACACGCAACTCTTTCTAGCACTTTTGAAAATAATGGGAGGTAACAGACCGATTGATAATTATTAAGAAACCCTGGATCAAGGTGTGGTTTATTAAGTAGAAATTTAACCTCAGCAGTCTCAAAGGTGTGAGTGATAAATTGTCAGTACTTAGCGTTTTAGGTCCCAGAGATCGTTTAGGTCTAATGATCAACAAAAACGTTTAGCTGGTAGGGAGTTGAGTAGGCAGGTAGTTGGTTTAAAAGCCAACACCATCTTAGACAACATTTCAAGATAAATCATATCCTGATCCATTAAGGGTTAGATTAAAAATAAATCTGGGATTATGTTTTTAAATTTTGAAATTATTATTAAGTTTATCGTTACTGGTTAAGCGGAAAAATATGCTGCTTTAGCAGAGGACAGAGCACACTTTTAATTCAACTCGTGCCATGAGGAGTAGAAAACTTCCAGTTGTGATTTATGCCATTTGCATTTGGCCTGATTAAGAGCATGTGTTTCTACAGTAAGCCAGGGTGGAGTCCTAATTGACTATCTTGTTTTGGTTGAAATTGAATCCAGGAGACTAGAAAGGGCTGTGTTTGAGTGCCTGGTAGAATTTTCAGAAGGGCCTGTCGCTGCAGTGAAAGGAGCCAGGACCAAGTGCAGTTAAAGTTGATGGACCACTGAGGCACGTTGTGAATACATCAACGACAGGCTAGTGTCACTCCGAGTTGACTAGAGGCTACCTCCTATCGCAAGGATTGTTCAAAAATCAAATGTAGCAAGTGTAATGTGATATGGACTTTGCAGAGTAAGAGTAGATAAGTACAAGAGTGAAAACTGAAGAGAGTGAAGAGATTAAAACAGAAAAAACAGGAGGAAGAAGAGTGGACAGTGCTTTTTTATCTCATGGAAATTGTGTTCCAACTGTGGAAAAAGACTGCAGTTGTTTAAACAGCTCATAGATAACCATAGTATCTGTCAAATGTGGCTAGCCTAGAAGTTGATCAAGCTGAAGTTGATGTTGTCCCTCCCAAGAGAACTCACAACTAGCTACATGAATACAGTTTGAGGGAGACTATATAGCCATTGTAGTCTAGTAAAGTTGAGGTCTAAAGTGAGGAATGGGTTTTTAAGGTTTCAGTTGGGAGAGAGTTTTATGTGCAATAGGGTAAAGAGAGTTTGACTTAGGGGAAATACAGCTGATCTATTTTTAGTGCAGGAAGAGCAGGGGTAAGTGAAGTTATTGTGGAGATTTGTTTACTGCATGTCCGCAAATTCCTGGGGGACTGAATGAGAGTTGGAGGGAAATTACACTACAAGGGCTATAAATTTATATTAGGCCCTTTCTTGGTTCCTCTTTGTGGTGCATGGCTGATGTCATCGTGCTAATCCAGTTATCAGGGGAAATAGAACTTTGAAATGATATTTGGGCAATCTTTCTATTTCAGAGTCCCCTTCGCCCCCCAGCAATCCCCACGCAGAGTCCACAGAAGAAGATGTCAGCAGCTCCCAGTGAAGGTAGAATAGTTTGTTCCTGTGTTGCTGAACGTGTTGAAACCTGCAGGACCAGTGACAGTGAAAAGATGAAAATGACCATCCTGTTTGTATTTTGTCTGATAAGGAGTCCTTCCAACTAGAGTCGAGTTCTTCAAGTCCAGCATTATGTCCCAGTAAGTAGGTTGTACATTTATTGCTTTGCTTTAATTCCTTCTGTCATACATCATTATTATGACATGTTATTTTGGTGGAATTCCTCTGTCCACTACCATTCAGCCTGGTGTTCAATTTTGACATGCCATAGTTGTTTTTAAGTACATGTGAATTAACAGTGGGGAGGGGGGCTTCACACTGGTCTGTCTCTGTGTTCCAGTGAACTCAATCACTTTCCAGGACATCATAGAAGGAACCAGACATTTTCATGATGAAATGAGAATTGCAGAGGGCCCCTTTTCTGATGTCTACAGAGCACAGATGGGAAGTAGAACATTTGCAGTCAAGGTTTTTAAACAGGCGAGTGTTGATTCTAACAATCGAAAAGGAACTGTCGGACATTTTGGGTAATGTTGGCTGTGTTCGAAACGGGCTAAACTGCTGTCTCAGAAGGTGTCTACCAGGACAGCGAGGCATCGAGTGCTGTTTGAAACGGCTCGAACGATCTCTTCCTGTCTCCTGAGATGCCTTCAGGCTGCCACAGTAACGGCCAGTTTTGAAGGTTGCATCGATGGTGACTTGATGCTGACTATGACCCATGATGCGGCCGCCGGAGCTTTCGAAAAACTGGTCAAGATAGCAGACAGCAAAGCCGAATTTGTACCCAAATACAGATTTTGTGTATTGTCCTCCCTGCCATGACTAGGAGCTGTTGTACAGTCTGATGGCCAGGGGGACGAAAGAGTTTTTAAGTCTGTTGGTGGAGCTGGGCTGGGACAGCAGTCTGACACTGAACCACACTCCTCTGCCCGATGAAGGTGTTGTGCAGAGGGTGGTGGGCGTTGTCCAGTATGGACAGCAGTTTGTCCAGGGTCCTTCTTTCTGCCACTGTCACTAGAGAGTCCAGCTCTGAGCCAGCTCTCCTCACCAGTCTGTCCAGTCGACCGGCATCTCTCTTCTTGCTGCTTCCTCCCCAGCAAACTACAGCATAGAAGAGGACGCTGGACACCACAGACTGGTGATGCCTTCTGAGGCAGCTATCTATTACGGTATCGAGGTAGCGAGGCTACTGCCTTCCGTTTCGAACACAGCCCTTGTGTGCTTGCCTGCTGTTAAATCCTCTCCAGAAGGCTGATGTCACTGTGAACTTTTGTTAGCTTTTTCAGCGTGAAAGTCCATTTTTGTTCTTCGCCACAACAGTTTCACAGAAGAATCTTAATATAAGGTCCACTTGAAAGTATTTTCAACCACATCTTCCTCATTTTGCATATTCATCAAAGTCACACCACACTGAGCAAACACCTTGCTGTTGAAGTCCAGGAGATGTGGTTAAGCAACTTTTCGTCAGTTGGAAACTTGCAAATAGCTCCAGCTTGTAATAAATTTTTTCATTAAATAAAAGTAAAATCTAAGAAAGATATTCTGTACTGAATTATTATCTTTTTGTACCTATTTAGAAGCAGAGAGTATATTCTACATCACCAATGGGCCTGTTATTAATGTTGGGGTGCCACAAAGAGCGTCTAACTGAAATGTATTCCCCATCTATCATTCTCCAGATAAATCAGACATCATGGAAGAAGCTGTGGGATATCTTCAGAAAAGAAGTGGAAATTCATCATTTGTATGTGTTAACCCACACGCTCAAAACCCCCCATTGTTTATGTAATGAATGGGTTATTCATTGTGATGATGTGTTACAGGTACCAGCATCCAAATATCTTAGACCTGTGCTGTTTTTCTGGTGAGGACCGCTACTGTCTGGTCTATCCTCACCTCCCCAATGGATCGCTCTTCCACAGACTACACTATCAGGTAGATTTGTAATGGATCCTGCAGGGCATTAGGAAGTGTGTTTCTGTTTGGGACTTTTTTCTTATTTTTTTATTTCTTTTACCATGCTTGAGCAAAATAGTTGCTGGGTAACACATTTAGCAATATCAAACAACAGGAAGTGATCTTGTGGTTAACAAGTTCACACTGGGTTTGCTTGTGCAGAACTTACCAAAGATCATTATGAAAACAAATACAAAACAATTAAAGCTTTATTACAAATAAGAACAAAGACAACCCATTCACACGGTGAGGAAAACATTATACAATTAATACTGTGTAAATTCTATATCCTGGAACAAATTTGGCCGTACTGCAAATTGAGACTGAGAAAAAACCCTCTAAATGCCAGAGAACAGCTGGATTTTTGCACAAATATGCACAAGTTTGTTCTGTTTTATGATCACATGGCCCTAAGTAAAGTCATACAAATCAGGTGAAGTGCAATGTTTGCTTGAAATCCTTCAGCTCAGAGCACATTTTGTCACAGAGCAGAGCAGCAGAGTGCCAGTGTTTGTCTTTATTTGACCACATAGGATCAAATAAACATGTATGCTGAGTGTGCCTCTTTTACTACGACACAGATATAAAATTCAATCTGTAATACGATTAAGACAAAGTCTCTACTTGACGCCCTTCCTTTCAGTCAGTTAAATCCCTGTGATCACACAGCTTGCAGTTGTTGTAGTCATGTAGATCTCTTAAACAGGTGTTTTCCTTTCTGAAAGTTTACCGTAGTGGAATGTTTGTGTGTATGTAAGCGCTCTGTATTTGTATAGCACCTTTCTAGTCTTTTTTCGACCACTCAAAGTGCTTTTACCTAAGTGCCTAAGTGCTCAAACAGAAACTAACACTCACAAACATTCATACACTGGTGGAACAGCCACCAGGGGCAATTCGGGGTTCAGTAACTTGCCCAAGGTTTCATCTTTTCACTGTCACTGGTCCTGCAAGACCTTCCGATTAACGGGCAACCCGCTCTACCTCCTGAGCCACAGCCGCCCCTCACATACTGTACCTACTGAATGCAACATTTTACCTAGGGAGTATTGGTAAATGTTTTCTTGTTTGGTCAAAGCCACAACATACACTGAAGGCCTTGATTGTAGAGGTGGGTGGAGTAGCCGAAAACTGTACAAAGTACTGTTACTTTTCACATTTACAGTAACACTTTTATCCAAAGCAACTTACATTTGATGAACAAAATACAAGCATCAATAAAGGATGAGATCTACAAATGACAATAGATTCTAGTTAAAGCAGCAATAAGTACTAGTAAGAGCTATTAGCGCATACGGCATCAATGGGGTAAATACCTAGGGAAAGAAGTAACGGTTAACAAAAAAGTGCCATCAATACAAGATAATTCTAAGAAGAAGAAGAGCACAGGAAGTGCATGTTAGATGTTAGGAGTTAAAGGTGTTATAAGAGGAAGCGTTCTCGGAAGAGATGAGAAATTCTGTTTGAAATAAACAAACTGTTTCATAGTAGCCTATTTCACTTTTGTGCAAGAGTAATTAAAGGCCTGTCACAATATAGGTAGGGTTAATTCAGTGATTTTAGCAAATAAAAGCCTGGGCTGTTAAGTTTTACGGTAGTAACATTCACATTGTACCCTATTAAGTACAACAATTATATTATCATTTGACAAATAAATCCACAAGTGTGTGCATGTGCATACTATGCCGTGTTTGTTAGGTCAAAAAGTAAATAGAAAGAGAATCAACATACATAGTTCCAGTATAGAAGTCCTAAGTCCCAGTTCCCATCTCTGTTCTCATCATCTCTCCAATCACAGGAAGACAATAAGACTCATAAGACTCATTCAGGCTAATTAGGAGATAATGCAGGGATTTGTTGTCATTAATTGCTTCACTTTCACCTGAAGACAGGGCTGGACTGTGACAAAAAATCGGGGTCAGATTACGGGTGTGACAAAAAAAACTGAGACGTGACATTGATTGGTGGGCATGGCCACAAGACAAGAATATATTTTAATAGGCCTAAAAATATTTATTGATGAAATATTCAATAGGGGAGGTGTGGGGGTCCTCCCCCAAAAGATTTTGAGCATTAAACACTTTTTCACACAATTCCCTGCATTCTGAAGACATTTTCTGCACCAATTTATGGTGGAAATATCTTTATTTTATTTTATTTATTTATATATATATATATATACATATATAAAATCCCATGGAGAGACAAGTCGCTGCACGGCATGTACCACAGACAAATAGAGTGGCTGATATCAAGAAATCCAACCAGTGGCTGGAAAAGGCTGGACTGAAGGACAGCACAGAAGCACTAATCATGGCGGCACAAGAACAGGCACTCAGTACAAGATCAATAGAGGCTGGAGTCTACCACACCAGGCAGGACCCCAGGTGCAGACTGTGCAAGGATGCCCCTGAGACAGTACAGCACATAACAGCAGGTGTAAGATGCAGGCAGGAAGTGCGTATGTGGAACGGCATAACCAGGTAGCTGTCATAGTGTACAGGAACATCTGCCGTGAGTATGGGCTGGAAGTCCCAAGGTCAAAATGGAAGACACCTCCTAAGGTAATTGAAAATGACGGAGCTAAGATCCTGTGGGACTTCAAGATCCAGATTGACAAACTGGTGACGGCTAACCAACCAGACATCGTGTTGATCGACAAACAGCAGAAGAAGGCTGCAGTGATAGATGTGGCGATCCCAAGCGACAGCAACATCAAGAAGAAGGAACACGAGAAGCTTGAGAAATACCAAGGGCTGGAAGAGGAGCTAGTACAGATGTGGAAAGTAAGAGCAACAGTGGTGCCAGTGGTAATCAGAGCACTGGGGACTGTGACCCCCAAAAACTGGGAGAGTTGCTACAGCAGATTCCAGGTAAAACATCAGAGGTCTCTGTCCAGAAGAGTGCAGTCCTAGGAACAACTAAGATACTGCGCAGAACCCTCAATCTCCCAGGCCTCTGGTAGAGGACCCGAGCTTGAGGATGACACATACCACCCTGCATACTTTTTTTGGACAACACAGAGGTTTCTTCTATATTGACATTGAATTGCAGGTTTTCTTATTGTGCAAATAAACCTTTCTCATAGCATTTTTATTTGTTAATCAACATTTCTTGGTGCAAGCCATTTTTCAGAACATTTTTAACAAATGCCTTGAAAAAGTGGTGGCTACATGTCCTCAGCGTCATCACTGTAACCACTGGCGCTAAGCCCACGATGCAGCGACCGTTATCAGCAGAATTTGAAGAAGTAACAGTTCTGACATCATGTCAAAGACGTCTATGTATTTTGCTGCAGAGATGTCTTCTAAAGTACACTTGTGCCTGGAGAGGAGACAGTGAGTCACTGTAGCATCCTGCATGCCCTCAGTCCAACATTAGAGGACGAAGAAAGAGCTTTGTGAGTTGTGTCTGAACAGAGAATGACAGACAGTAGTAGATGTACACAGGCAGGAGAGATAACAAGGTGATGGTCTGTTTAACTTCTTTGTTGCAGAAGAAGTGACGCCCACTACTCCGGGAAGACGTAAAAAGCTTAATTTATGAGGTGATTATAAAGATAAGCATGAGTTCCGATATGAGGACATAATAAAGAAGTCAGCAAAAATGCGTGGTTGGTCATTCTGGTTAATAAAACCATGTTCTCTAATAGAGGATAGGAAAATGATAGAATGCCCCATTAGTAATTCTCTCTGTGCTGGATATTAAACTCTAAGGCTGATTTTATGGACATTATTTAAGCCAGTGTATTTATTTTGCTCAAGCCTGTTTCACAGGTTATGCCATATCTGGTGCTTATGTCCTTGAAGGCTTTTTACATCCACTTTTCCAGGCCTTGATGTTAGTTTGCCTATTTTAAGCTATTTGAAGGCATATTTTTGTCATATGTAAAAATGGTACGTTTTCACTCTACAGGATGGAAAGCCCCCTCTGTCTTGGCAAGAGCGTCTGACCATCATCAAGGGAATTGCAAAGGCCTTGCATCACCTCCATACAGCCCAGCCCTGCCCAGTGATCTGTGGCAACATCTCCAGGTACAGGCCACCAAACACATGCGGTTGTTTGAGCTGGACAGAGCGATCAGATCTTGATCGGAACTTAATGTGCATAATACCAGGTGTAACTGTAATCAGGTTAAAATCACATCTTCATACAATGTTCACATAAGACACATTTCAGTGCTCGGTGTAAATGGCCTGTTTACATGGGCCATGGTTTGGACAGTGTGTTTCCCAGACAGTAATGGGCTTCACATACAGTGTCAGTAACAACAGAAGTATCCCCAGCTGCATGGTACCAATACAACAATTAAAACAGGACACAGCAGTCCCTCAACAAGGAAGTTCAGGTTCCAATAACACAGTTATAAATTTATCTCTGCCCAGACACAGCCTCTTAATTGATAATTGCTCTTCTGTGAGCAATGTAATGTGTTAGTCCGTTTAGGCAAACCGGCAGAGTCCTCTCAGGCTTGGATTATGACGACAGCCGAGGTACTGCGTTGTCGGCAGCACTGCTTTTTTTTTTTATTATATACGAACAAGTTCTCAAACCATGAATTGAACTACTGCTCTGCTGTATATCCCTCAAACTTAGGCAGAACAGCAAGGCCATAAAACAATATATCTCTGTCTGTCAAATAGCTAAACCCTTGAGCACCATAGTATCTTTTTTATTCTCTCTACTTCTGCTACTACTACTTCTGCGTTGGATTGCGTATATCATCTTGTCTCTCTTTATCTTTATTACATGTTCTGTTTTGTCAAAGAAATTTACCAATCAAAGGTGATGGTTGTCAAGCTTATTACATGGAGAATGAAACCACTCCAAAGGGAGTTCCCATCTCCACAGAAAGCTCTGCTCAGAACCGCTTGAAAACAGCTCGTTTGTAGTCCAGCCCTTCACTTCCTTTACTTGTGACGGCACAATGAAAACGCGTCATAAAGCTTGCCAAAACAGGTTAGATTAACCTTCTAGTTGGTCACCTCACTTTAATTTCAGACAGTCAGCTTGATGGTTGTTGTAGTTGTCGAATGTTAATGACAGACAGTTTTGAGAATGTCACAGTAAACTTTATCAAAGTTTTAAACTTATCACAAATATTTTGAATCAGGATTTTATGGATTAAGTGTATATATATTGCTTAGTTATATGGGTTTAAAAAGGTGCAACATTGTGGGCTTTAGGGCCTCCACTGTCACTTGCCTTCCCTTCCATCTGTGTTATGTATCTCTGCTGTCCATGAAGTTCAGAAGTTGACACAGTGTCTGTATGGCTTCTCTGCGCAGTGCAAACATACTCTTGGATGATGCCCTGCAGGCCAGGCTGTCTAACTTTGAGTTGGCTCATCTCCGTCCTCATTCAGCCAATCAGAACTTTACCGTCACTCTGGATACGGGTCCTCACAGCAACCTGGGATACCTCCCGGAGGAGTACATCCGAGATGGCAAGCTGTCCTTCAGCCTGGATGTTTACAGCTTTGGAATGGTGATAATAACAAGATCATATAAGCATAGTTTATATTTCTTCAAAAACTGTCTTCATCCAGTGTGTTGGGTTCGGGTCAGCAGTTTGTACGTTACAGCTAGGAAAATTAAAAAATGCACAAGATGACATAAGATCATTAAACATGAAAAACAACTGTAGGAGTCCAGTTTTGGAGCATTGGTTGATAACGTTTCTGTTTTATAATTGATGCTATTTAAGAATCCCGACATAAAGAAGACATTTTATAGCAAAGTACGTGAAAGACTATGGCTAATTTAAACAAATGGAAAAATGGGAATGGGAATTGTGAGTGAGAATTGTGAGTATTGCCATAACCAGTGGTGAAAGAATTGTTCAGATCCTTTACTTTAACCTGCATTAATACACTTTGGCAGTAGAAACAAGCTGTAAACAAATTATGAAAATCCTGAAGTTGACATGTCAGCAAACAGTACAGTGGGCTCAAATGTACAAAAAATATAAATAGTAATTAATAGCCAAGCAAGGTATAAAAAAAATTATAGGACCTTTTTATATGAGTAGCCCAACAACAATGTGTCCTTCAGGATGTTTCACTGTGGACACCGTCAAATGCCAGTTTGTTATACACCCAACCTGAGGAAATGACGTTTATGACTGTGTCGGGGGGGGGGGGGACCAAAAGTAAAGTTACAGGCCCTAAAATCAAAACAATTAGTTTAAATACCCTGATGCTCTCAGTAGAGCTAAAGGAAGCTAAGAGTCAGTAAATAATTGACGAGAGAGAGAAGATACTTTATCGTCATATATATGTTGCGAAATTCATTCTCTGCATTTAATCCGTCCCTCAAGGGAGCAGTGACTAGGGACTACATGTAGTCATTTGATCCATATTTAATATAAAATATTGATTCAGCAGCTGCATTCAAAATTGTGCTTAACTAAAATCACATATCACACAACTATCTGAAAATGTACTTTTAGGTATCAAAAGTACTCACTATGCAGAATGGTCTCTTGTTATACAGTATGATATCACTGAGTTACTATTACAGATGCATTAACACGTAAACAGCACTATAATGTCATGGCAGCACGAGATGAAGCTCAGTTGCAATAATTCATATATTTCAATTAGTACATAAATATGTTAGTAGTATTGTATCAGTACATCATATTTTTTAAGTGACCACATGTTTTAAGTGACTTTACCAATTTGTAACTATAGCTGTGAAATAAATTTAGTGGAGTAAAAGGTACAATGTTTCCCACTAAAAATGTATTGAAATAAAAGAAGGACGGTACTGGAGTAGATATACTTCATTATTTTCACCACTGGCTATAGTGTATCTGTCATAACATTGAGTTATGAAATATAGGAGGGATGATGGAAACATCATTCACACTTTTTCCATTTCCATTAATTACAATTTGCTTGCTCTCAGGTCACAATGGAAACGGTAACAGGACGGAAGGTCATAGAGGACGTACCGAAACATACACAGCTGGTGAGTGGACTCGTAACTTCATGGGTTAAGACTTTGTTTTTTACTCTGACGGACAGAAAAATGGGAACACAGTCTGTTGCAGTCAATATCCACAGCAGCTTCCAGTAAATCCTGCTTTTGTGAAGCTGATCATTTTCAGTTTTTGGTGAGACCGTGTCAGAGTGGGGCTGATCCAGGCCTGTTGTCACATCGGAAGCTGGATCTGGATCTGGATCTGGTTATAGGCACTTGGATTTATACTTGGTATTAATAAGTGTCCTCGTTATCTCTGTCCATTTACACCCGCATTAACATGTTTTCCATGTACCTGGACAAGATATCCAGAAAATGGCATCTAATAAACTTTCAAACAACTGTATTGAAGTTGGCAGTTTAAGTGTAGTGACTACATTACTAGTATGCCATGATCAACCTTTCCAACCATTTTGACCTGATTAAATGCAGTTTCATGTTCTGTGACCCATTATGACATTATGATTATTTATTACTGCAACCCATTTAATGATTTATACATGTGTTATGCTGGGTTCTGTAAGTATAGATACCTGCAAAATGCACCTAGCACCTTGTGATGTGCCCTACATACAAACCACATGCTCTCTCTGTCCGTCTCTGTCTGACCGTCTGATCTGTCAGAGAGATTTGCTAGTCTCTGAGGTGGAGGACAGTGGTGGTGTGGACTCTTGTCTGCAGTACGTGGATGTGGCGGCCGGCCGGTGGCCGACTGCTGTGGCCCTCAGCCTTCTGGGTCTGGCCTTGGACTGCACTGCTAGCCGCCACCGCAACAGACCAAGCATGGAGAATGTGAGCACTAAAAGTTCATTCAACAGTATACATAGCAAAATATCCTAAGCTCAGAGGTCTACACATCCTAGCTTTTGGCACTTTTCACTGCATCTCATGGTCTTCGTGATAACATGTGGCTGTAAAGGGGGGGAGGTGGGGGGGGGCATCCACTATCTCCTGGTCAGTGACTTTTGACCTCTTCCAATGGACCCTGTGAGCGGTTTTGGTCTGATGAGCAAAGACAGTTGATGTCGGTTTCTGGTATTCCTTTACTCAAGTACTAGTAGCTTGTTTAAGTTATATCATAGAGGATTGGGAAGGTGCTGACAACGACAATGAGCTTTGTCTCAATTGTGTACTTGTATGTAGTTGAGTAGATTTTTAGTCATTCCAGTTTTATATAAAAGTGTCATATTTATCAAATTCTGGGTGTAGCTCTTTCCTGTTGCATTGGTTACAGGGCTAATATTACATAGTATGGGAGCTATCTCCACTCATCCTTAGTTGTTTTTAAGTTTTGCTGACATAATTTACTATTCTGCTGCTGGAATCATTTAAGTAACTGTGGATGACCTTAATGCTATAAATCTTAACTGTCTTCAGGTACTTCTGGCACTGAGCAAGCTGCTTCCTCCACCTAGCTGCCCCCCTGCCGACCAACCCCATAGCCTGGATAGCGGAGCCCATATAATTCCCCAGCAGAGCCCTTTATCCTCCATACCTGTGGAGCACGATGAGCAGCAGAGCCTCCATTGTTCTCCAACACGAGCAGGGCCCTGTGAATGCAGCCAGTCAGAGGTGACCTATCTGAGTGACACTGTGGATTCTCATGGTGAGGTAGACCTGTACTGCAGCTGGCCTGTACAGTGCAGCTGCACAGCAGAGAACGGCAGTCTGGCCTGTGAGGACTGCAGGGCCAACAGCTTCATTCTCAACCACAGGCAGGGCTCGGAGTAAGTGTTGTTAAGATATTCAGATTCACATCACAGAAGCAGGTAAGACTCTGTGGATCTTGCTCACCAAACCGGCTTAGGATCACATTTGATGGTATGTCAAAATTCTCCAAATCCACGGACCGATTTGACTTTTGATTTTAAGGTCAAGATTTGATAAAAAAACATTTTCAGCGTCTGCCATATCAAATAAAATATGATGTTGCAGATTTGTCTGGTTCCCAGGCTAAGGGATTGTTAGACTATCAAATCTTGTTCAACAGATCACACTTGATACCATATAGGCTATGTTTTTAAAGAAGAAAATTAAAATTTTCAGGGCATAAAACAAATGATCTAACTACCATATTTTGGGATATAATGTTCCACATTATGGCCGTATGGTAGAACCATTTATTTAAAGAGGTGGTATTATGCATTTTGGCTTTCTCCCTCTCCTTTATTGAGTTATATATCTTTTTTGTGCATGTAACAGGTTTGCAAAGTGAAAAAGTCCAGCCCAAAGGGAGTTCCCATCTCCACAGAAAGCTCTGCTCAGAACCGCTTGAAAACAGCTCGTTTGTAGTCCAGCCCTTCACTTCCTTTACTTGTGACGTCACAGCGCAAACGCGTCATAAAGCTTGCCAAGCGGCTAGCGGGGTCAGGCACGCCCTCAAACCAAGCTAGTCTGAGCGGAGGCCCTTTGGCTCGCCTTTGTTTGGGTTTCCATTGTAGAAATGTTGTACCTGTACCTGCTTCCAGGTACTGTCTTTCGTATCACCTCCTTTGAGGTTCCAAGCGAGCTGAGGGATACTAAAATGTAACATGAAAACACGACAGACTGCTGATTGGTCAGAGAGAATATTCACTATTCACTGCATCATCATTGCTGCACCAGACAGAGGCCAGCAACAGAAAGTTTTATATTTTACAGTTTTTGTATGTAATTTCATCACTAAATCCACTTCTGAGTAGTTTTGAGGTGAGAAATCAGCTGTGTAGATTTCGAATATTGACAGTTTGACAGTAAAGCCGGCAGTTGTGTGTGGCGTCGCTATCTCTTTGTACTACCTGCAGTGGAAAACGGAGCAGGGCCGAGTACAGTGGAGTCTATCGATTTGCGCTATGGAAGCATTTTTTAGCAAGGCAGCATAGATCGTCAGAACACCGGCAACAGTTCAACGTTTAGTCCTGATGGTAAGATGTGGAACAATGATGTTGTGTGGTTGTGGACTGGACACACTACCTTGTTACTTACGACCCGCCCTTCTCTGTTTCTGATTGGCTAGTAGTCCTTACCTGGGAACTGCGCATGTGCAACTCCCAGCAAAGATTTTGTAGCTCAAGAGCGGAGTGTACAACACATAGGCTGAAAAGAGCTGCAGCAGTGTGCAGTATGAGAAAAATTAAAACCAGTTTATATGGTGAAAATTAAACCATGTAAACCTGTTCTGGTACAACCCCTAATTAAGATTTTGAACCTGAAAATGAGCAGAATACCACCTCTTTAAAATGTAATGTCACCACTGAAGTGGGAACAAACTTTAAAAACAAAACAATAAGAGGAGTCACCAGATGGCAGAAGGGAACTTTACAACAAGAACTTGACTTTCCTCTCCTGCAAATAGCCACGAGCCCCCCTTCAAGGAATGAGGCCTTGTGGGTAACCTGAACCCTAAAATGTGGTGTAGGGGGTTTGTTGTGGGAAGTGCGTCTCTCACGGGGCCAGCACTTCACAGAAACGTGCTATAAGGGGTTTTATAGTTACTGAAAGGCTGTATGTTGTGTTCACTGTCACAGAGCGTTACTACGGCGTCCTGCATTCTTCACAGCAGAGTTGTGAGAAACGCTACTTACTTATCACAGATAAATGTTACCAGAGGAAACACTGAACTAGCTAGATAACCATAGCGACGGTGGGTCAATCAAAGAACTGCAATGTATCGTCGGTTCCCCATCAGATAGTGTCTCCCTCCCTTTACCCTGTGGTTAGGTTTAGGGAAATGGTTGATGTCAGGTTAAGACAACACATACTGACAGTACAGCTGCAGGCCACTGGTACAGCTACCCTGTGTCCTCTTTATTTATTTTTGTCCTGGACAAGCGCTAGACACATGCAAGTAAGAAAAAAAACCTTGGAAAATCGCAGATCCTGCTTTTGATTTTCAACGTTGAAATTGGAAGTTCATTTCGATCGATTTTTGATTTAAAATCGAAATCTTAACAGCCCTACATTTGATTGTTAGAAGTGTGCTGTGATGGGTGAGTGAGTCAACTCAACCAGGTGCTTCCTAAAAGTAGCTTTGTCCAAGGAAATATTCAAAACACTTTCTCGAACGTAACTGTCATCCGATAATGAGAAAATACAGGCAGAGGTCTCTGCAGATACAGACATTGCCACACACTTCTTGTGGGTCATAGGTAATCATTGAGAGGGATTATTTTTATGAGTTTACGCATGTTTTTTTTTTAGAAAATTCTACTCATTATGTCTTATGAGTATATAATAATAAAATAGGCAAAAAAAATAAATGTAAAATCAGCATTAAAGGAATCAATAAATTATTATTTTACAAGGACTATATATATAGTTACATATATAAATACACACTGCGTGTGTACATAAGAGTGTTTAAATAGTGTTGTTTTGATCATGTGACTGCTTATGACCTCATACAGTTCTGGTAGTGCATTTTTTCAGTTTGCATCTTGAGGAATGTGATTTAGTGAGGTGAAAAGTATAGAGCAAAACAGAGGAAATGCTTGGGGCTCACACAGTGACCACGTGCCTGAGAAACAGGATGGACAGGAACGTTGAGCTGGAATTTACTTTCACAATCTGTTTTTAACCTCCACTGATTGTCATGTGTCTGAATTTGCTTATTGAATCATATTACAAAGTAAATTGATACTAATCCTTCAAACTGTACAGAAAGGAAGTAAAAAGTCTCTTCTTTGATTGTTTACCTCTTATTTCCTAGTTAGTTGGCTTCTATACTAAGTTTTGTTTACTGAATGTATGTGATCTTTTGCTAAGGAAATAATAATAATTGTTGAATGTGTATTCTATTGCCTTAAGAAGGCGGCAAGTGATCTTATTGCGCATCTTATTATCTTATTATATGTTATAAAAAAATAGGAGAGAAAAAAAAGTACCCTTATTTCCTGTGTTAACATACTTCTATCACATGTGAAAAGGAGTAGGAAGAAGTCAAACTTATGTACTCCTACACCTTTAATTCTTACATTCCTTCAATTAACAATTTTTATATTATTTATAATATAAAAATTTATATATTTTATAATTGTTTTTATATATACACATACACACACACATTTTATGTACACAATATTAGAGTGACCACTGACAAGTATTTATTTATCTAACCTCGATTATTTACTTATTCAAACAGCAAAAAATACAACAAAAAAACAAACAAAAAACATAAACATATAGAGAACGATAAGTCTGGCTGGTATTGTGGAATCAGTTATAAAGCATTTTGACAGATCTAAAGTCTACAAACCACACTTAAGACTTGTAATAGAGAAAACATTACACAATTTAAAGCTACAAACCAGAAAGGTAATTGATCATTTCACTGGGGGAAAAATATTCGAAAGAGAATAGAGCTCTCTGAAAAATCCGCTATGAACTGAAACAGATGGTTGGCCATGAACATGACAAGTGACATGAAGGAAATTAAAACAGAGAGTGGCCTTGTCAAATCTAATACTCCTTTGAGTTTGGAAAAGAGACACTCTGAATTATCTTCATAATGTAGAACGAATAAATGTGGCATTTCCAACTTAAACATGACAATAAAATCGACAACCTTCCTATGACTGAATGTCACGAGGCTGATATCTAGTCATAAATGATTAGGTTCTATATGTCACTCAGTTATTAAAGATACTATAAGGAATTTTCAGAAAATCCTTGTTATTAAGTGAACTGCAGTCAGCATCCTGTTGCTCGCACACATGCTCACAGGGTGTGAGCATCTTGGGCATCGGCCAAAACACAACACACCTGGACTGAACACAGCCTCGGAGGCCAGTTAGACAGCTCTGGTACCGAGGTGATATAAAGCCTTATAGCTCAAGTACAGGTGTATAGCTCTGACTGAGAGGAGCCTGATGCTGTATGTGCTCTGTAGTCATCTCGGACATCATCACCTGTAAGTGGTAACCCCCCCCCATGAGCAGGCAGTAAATGTTCAGGATCCGTGTAAATAAATTGTTCTTTGCATATTCAGTTAAAAAATATATAGATATTTTTCACACATCTGTTGCAAAGAAAAAAAAGTTAGGTGAACTAATGGAATTGAAAGGATATTTTACCTGAAAACAATGTGTCCAGAGGGGCAAGTGAAGTTCTAAGATTCTGGGGTGGGGGAGAAAATGAAAAAGAGTGTAGCCTGAATTTCTGGATATTTCTGGACTCTCACTCCGGTCCTTGTTACTTTTGCACAAAGTTCAGGATTGTTGAAGTTATGTTTACTGTCATGCTATCCAGTCACTGCTACTATAGAGCATAAACATATCTGGAAAATATCAAGTAAATCTATAGTCTCTAGTTTAGAAGACAGCTCTTTCAGTGAGACTCAACATGTCTGAAATCCAGTCAAGGACACCGTGTTCAGCTGCATCGCCTTTTCAACAGTATAGTTACAGTTTGACTCAAGTGTTCACATCTGCCAACTGCATTCGAGTTTAGGAATCCAAATGGATTCAGTTCACTTTTCATGATTGTTACGGCTGTATGTATTTCCCTGTGCTGTGTCCATGTTTTCTGTCCTTCAGTTCTGTTCTGGGAGTGCTCCAGCTAATTACTGAATAAGGTCCACCTGGCCTTGGAAGGCGGGCTTTAAAAGCTGCTGTGCAAGTGTCAGGAGGGCACCCTTCTTGATTTGGGACTGCTAGCCTTGCTGCCTCCCAGCTGGGGCATTTTTGCGTTGTGTTTTTGGTGAATTTAGAATACAGGAATGTGGCCCTGAGAAGAGCTCCAATCAGCTAGTTAACTCAAAACACCTGCAAAGGTTTCCTGAGCCTTTAATCTGTTGGTCTGGTTCTGTTGCTAACAAAGAACTTTTCCACAATATTCAAATTTTTGACAGAGACTCATACTGACAGAGGTCATGGACTTAAGGTAGATGAGATCACAGCAGTCTTGTCACACAATTTTTTATCTAGACAGAGAATATTACAAGAGGTGTGATGTGAATACATGTCCACTCCAATGTAAATGACAAATAACATAATTACTAATAATAATTAATAGTGCATATTATGGAGTAGTAAACATATTAATACATTTTGGTAACATTGGTGTTCATGACAAATAAGCAAAAGGACTTCTCCAAACTGGGAGTATGCCGACCGCCATCTTCTGTTTGCAATACACTGACTATACCTTGTACAACCCCACTTCAGAAAATCTGAGCTAATTTATTTAATACTCAAAAACTTTTTAATAATTAACATGCTTGAATCGCTATAGGAAAACCAGAATGGTAAGTCAGCTGTTCAGACCA